ATGGACTCTATACTAATGTGATAGTTGGGCCTTTATTTATTTTTATTTTTTCTTACACTGTCACATAATTAGTCCGGCTTTTAATGATGATATATTAATGATCTGAATCGAAACTCTTATATAAATATACATACACACACTAGCCAGAGATATATGTGATGCATGCAAATTTATTTTTAAAATAAAAAATTAATTTTTAGATTTAATATTTTATATATAGAAAATTTTAATAATTGAAAATTAAATACAAACAGGTTTATTAGTTGATAAATTTTTTTTGTAACTGTGTGTAATCCAATGTAAAAGACTCATAAAAATAATTTTTTCAAAGTTAAAAAAAAAAGTGTACTCTCAACCTAAAATCAAACCTCATTTGTTTTAATCAGATTTACCAAAAATCATGAATTTCACTGGTATCAAAATATTTTTTCTAAAAAAAAAAATGAAAATTTCTATAATATACAAATTATGATTTGGTTATAATTTATAATTCATGGTGTATTATTTTAGTTATTAATCGAAGAGGTGCTTGCTAATTTCTTATGTTTTTAGTTATGTCTAAAGTGGTGTATCGGGTCGTTAATTATGTTTCAAGTGGTGTTTGTTTATGAACTATTATAATACTTTTATATGACAATATTTAAGTATTTTATTACACGAAAAAATGATTAAGGTAGGTTGATTCAAATGTAAGTGTGTGAGTGATTTTCTGACCACACTGCCCGCTTAGTAACCAGTTGGAGAGCACCGGCAGAATAGATGGCACCTGGCTGACCTGCAACAGAAAGAGAAGATTCCGGCTCCAACGATCAAGTCAGTATATCTCTCAAAGATAAATCAAGTGCTAAACTCACAAACTTGAGTATCAAAAGCATACCTTAGACCCATGGGGGTGCCTCTCTTTTATAGCCACATAAACCTAGTCCCAATAGAAGCCTAACTTCTATGGATTCAAGATTACTACTAATCTTGGACTCCTGTAGACACCCCATTTTTGACCGACCTTAAGACTCAGACGTCACCGATTGAGCGCTTGGTGATGTTGCATAATGTGCTTGTTCAGAAGTCTCAGAGTCGCGGCTGCGAGCCCTGCCTCCGGGCTTCCGAACCCTTTTCTGTGCCTTGTCTCGGTTTGCGAACCAGACTCGGTTTTCTCTGTTTCTTTTCCTGAAGGGAGGGAGGGGTCCTGTAGACCATCTCTCAATGTCCGTAGGCTACATTTTGTGGCCGTAGGCCATTTTGCCCATTTCGGAGTCCGGTTCCCGGTTTTCGGAGCCGTCAGGCCGTGTGCCTCGGTTCGGGACCACCTAACCATCTCCTATTGCTCTGATCTTTGGCATACATCCTATTTCATCCATTTTGAGGAACACTGGGGGGCTGAGAAACCCACTTCGAGGTCAGATGCAATTTTCGGTGCTTAACAGCCCATTTCCGGGACCCCGAACTGCGTGTTTTGGCTCCGGAACATTCGTTTTGCAACGGTTTTCGCTCATTTTTGGCAGGTACCTCTGTTTTATCACAGGGAAGGTCACTGAAGGGTGGGAGGCCAGCAATTGTTGCAGCAGCCAGTTATAGAAAATGCTCGTATCTTTTGCATAGAAAATGCACTCTTCCATACTTGCATAGAAAATGCTCGTATCTTTTGCATAGAAAATGCACTCTTCCATACTTGCATAGAAAATGCTCGTATCTTTTGCATAGAAAATGCACTCTTCCATACTTGCATAGAAAATGCTCGTATCTTTTGCATAGAAAATGCACTCTTCCATACTTGCATAGAAAATGCTCGTATCTTTTGCATAGAAAATGCACTCTTCCATACTTGCATAGAAAATGCTCGTATCTTTTGCATAGAAAATGCACTCTTCCATACTTGCATAGAAAATGCTCGTATCTTTTGCATAGAAAATGCACTCTTCCATACTTGCATAGAAAATGCTCGTATCTTTTGCATAGAAAATGCACTCTTCCATACTTGCATAGAAAATGCTCGTATCTTTTGCATAGAAAATGCACTCTTCCATACTTGCATAGAAAATGCTCGTATCTTTTGCATAGAAAATGCACTCTTCCATACTTGCATAGAAAATGCTCGTATCTTTTGCATAGAAAATGCACTCTTCCATACTTGCATAGAAAATGCTCGTATCTTTTGCATAGAAAATGCACTCTTCCATACTTGCATAGAAAATGCTCGTATCTTTTGCATAGAAAATGCACTCTTCCATACTTGCATAGAAAATGCTCGTATCTTTTGCATAGAAAATGCACTCTTCCATACTTGCATAGAAAATGCTCGTATCTTTTGCATAGAAAATGCACTCTTCCATACTTGCATAGAAAATGCTCGTATCTTTTGCATAGAAAATGCACTCTTCCATACTTGCATAGAAAATGCTCGTATCTTTTGCATAGAAAATGCACTCTTCCATACTTGCATAGAAAATGCTCGTATCTTTTGCATAGAAAATGCACTCTTCCATACTTGCATAGAAAATGCTCGTATCTTTTGCATAGAAAATGCACTCTTCCATACTTGCATAGAAAATGCTCGTATCTTTTGCATAGAAAATGCACTCTTCCATACTTGCATAGAAAATGCTCGTATCTTTTGCATAGAAAATGCACTCTTCCATACTTGCATAGAAAATGCTCGTATCTTTTGCATAGAAAATGCACTCTTCCATACTTGCATAGAAAATGCTCGTATCTTTTGCATAGAAAATGCACTCTTCCATACTTGCATAGAAAATGCTCGTATCTTTTGCATAGAAAATGCACTCTTCCATACTTGCATAGAAAATGCTCGTATCTTTTGCATAGAAAATGCACTCTTCCATACTTGCATAGAAAATGCTCGTATCTTTTGCATAGAAAATGCACTCTTCCATACTTGCATAGAAAATGCTCGTATCTTTTGCATAGAAAATGCACTCTTCCATACTTGCATAGAAAATGCTCGTATCTTTTGCATAGAAAATGCACTCTTCCATACTTGCATAGAAAATGCTCGTATCTTTTGCATAGAAAATGCACTCTTCCATACTTGCATAGAAAATGCTCGTATCTTTTGCATAGAAAATGCACTCTTCCATACTTGCATAGAAAATGCTCGTATCTTTTGCATAGAAAATGCACTCTTCCATACTTGCATAGAAAATGCTCGTATCTTTTGCATAGAAAATGCACTCTTCCATACTTGCATAGAAAATGCTCGTATCTTTTGCATAGAAAATGCACTCTTCCATACTTGCATAGAAAATGCTCGTATCTTTTGCATAGAAAATGCACTCTTCCATACTTGCATAGAAAATGCTCGTATCTTTTGCATAGAAAATGCACTCTTCCATACTTGCATAGAAAATGCTCGTATCTTTTGCATAGAAAATGCACTCTTCCATACTTGCATAGAAAATGCTCGTATCTTTTGCATAGAAAATGCACTCTTCCATACTTGCATAGAAAATGCTCGTATCTTTTGCATAGAAAATGCACTCTTCCATACTTGCATAGAAAATGCTCGTATCTTTTGCATAGAAAATGCACTCTTCCATACTTGCATAGAAAATGCTCGTATCTTTTGCATAGAAAATGCACTCTTCCATACTTGCATAGAAAATGCTCGTATCTTTTGCATAGAAAATGCACTCTTCCATACTTGCATAGAAAATGCTCGTATCTTTTGCATAGAAAATGCACTCTTCCATACTTGCATAGAAAATGCTCGTATCTTTTGCATAGAAAATGCACTCTTCCATACTTGCATAGAAAATGCTCGTATCTTTTGCATAGAAAATGCACTCTTCCATACTTGCATAGAAAATGCTCGTATCTTTTGCATAGAAAATGCACTCTTCCATACTTGCATAGAAAATGCTCGTATCTTTTGCATAGAAAATGCACTCTTCCATACTTGCATAGAAAATGCTCGTATCTTTTGCATAGAAAATGCACTCTTCCATACTTGCATAGAAAATGCTCGTATCTTTTGCATAGAAAATGCACTCTTCCATACTTGCATAGAAAATGCTCGTATCTTTTGCATAGAAAATGCACTCTTCCATACTTGCATAGAAAATGCTCGTATCTTTTGCATAGAAAATGCACTCTTCCATACTTGCATAGAAAATGCTCGTATCTTTTGCATAGAAAATGCACTCTTCCATACTTGCATAGAAAATGCTCGTATCTTTTGCATAGAAAATGCACTCTTCCATACTTGCATAGAAAATGCTCGTATCTTTTGCATAGAAAATGCACTCTTCCATACTTGCATAGAAAATGCTCGTATCTTTTGCATAGAAAATGCACTCTTCCATACTTGCATAGAAAATGCTCGTATCTTTTGCATAGAAAATGCACTCTTCCATACTTGCATAGAAAATGCTCGTATCTTTTGCATAGAAAATGCACTCTTCCATACTTGCATAGAAAATGCTCGTATCTTTTGCATAGAAAATGCACTCTTCCATACTTGCATAGAAAATGCTCGTATCTTTTGCATAGAAAATGCACTCTTCCATACTTGCATAGAAAATGCTCGTATCTTTTGCATAGAAAATGCACTCTTCCATACTTGCATAGAAAATGCTCGTATCTTTTGCATAGAAAATGCACTCTTCCATACTTGCATAGAAAATGCTCGTATCTTTTGCATAGAAAATGCACTCTTCCATACTTGCATAGAAAATGCTCGTATCTTTTGCATAGAAAATGCACTCTTCCATACTTGCATAGAAAATGCTCGTATCTTTTGCATAGAAAATGCACTCTTCCATACTTGCATAGAAAATGCTCGTATCTTTTGCATAGAAAATGCACTCTTCCATACTTGCATAGAAAATGCTCGTATCTTTTGCATAGAAAATGCACTCTTCCATACTTGCATAGAAAATGCTCGTGGTAATTTGGTAATAATTTCATCAATAGTCAATTTGTAAAGATGGTGACACCCTAACAGTTGTTTAAGAAGAGTCAACTCTCCTTCTTCAGAAGAAAAATTAACTGATAAGGATGTTTGTCGGAGGTGGCTTTGCACTGATGTTTAGGTAGTTGATGAATGCTGCAAAGTCCTGATTGTCTGTCTTCCAAAAAGTTGCCTCTTCTAGTTGCTGAAGATTGATCAATTTGCATAGATCGTTGACGTCACAGTTCCTTGTGTTGAACCCTTCTAATGTCTCAAGGTTGCTCAAGCCATCCAATTTGAATTTGTATCTTAAAATCGAGTTATAACTAATATACAAATGCCTCAACCGTTCCATCTGATGTAAGACTATTACTTCACCTGAGTTGAAGTAGCAATTGAGTAAATCCAAGGTTTGCAAGTATTTTAACTTGCAGATAGACGAATGCCACTTCGGTATGGAACAACTTCTTAAACTCAAGTACCTCAAACTAACTAGGTTACCTATTGATTCAAGTGACTTTTCATCAAACTCTAATCTTTCAAGATCCAAAACCCTAAGCAATTTTAAGTACTTGAAATGGGAGTTCAACTCTATTGAATGCCTGCCATAGCTTATTGGATTGTAGAATAATATCGATCTCAACTGTTTAGTTGTCTCCAAGTCAGGGAGGACAACTTTTTCGACATCCATATTCAAATGAATTGCAAGTTTGCGTATTTTAGTAGTAGTTGTCGGTGTGGTCGAAAAGCAATAAGCTAGATCAGTTTCACATTGGAGATAAACGATCCCAATAAAATCATTTATTTTTGCCTTTGATAAACATAGCTCTAGCATGAGATCATGAATGCGGCAATATTTGATCCTTTGAGTAAACTTCTCTACCTGTACTTGAACCATGCACCTTTGTGCTAACGCACCCAAGTAACGCTCTGCCACATCCATCATTGTTTCATCTTCCATTCTATCATCAGTTGCCAGTATGCCGTCAGCCATCCACAAGTGATATAGTTTTTTGGCATCTATCACAGAATCCTCCAAAAAGTGACTGAAATAAAGAAAACATGGCTTCAACTGACAAGGCAAGTCATGGTAGCTTAAAGCTAACACCTTTGATACTCCATCATCATGTTGTATGTGGTCGTTGCTCCATTTTGCTCCATTTTGGTATACTCCATCATTTTGGTATACCATCTCCCATTCCCTTAATGTATGCTTTGCTGCCAAAAGTCCACCAAGCACAATGATTGCTAAAGGTAAACCACCACACAACTTTACCATTCTCCATCCTAATGCCTCCATATTTGTGTCAAGTACTCCAGAGTCTTAAAAAACAACAAAAATGCAAATTTAAATGTATCAAAAAATTGATTATTGCTTAGAGTCTATACAACAACAAAAATGAACATTTTAATGCATACATACCGTGAATACGCAACAAAAAAAGAAAATTTACATTGGACGCTAGTTCTGACTTTTTTGAGATCCAAATCAATTTTTTGACATGGGCCATTTATATATATATATAATTCCAAAGCAAGCTTGTAATATGGACTAATGTTTATTTTATTTTATTTTATTTTTGCAAAGTCAAGCCGGTTTGTAATTTAAATTTTATTAAATTTTTTTAAACTTTCATATTCTCTAGTATAAAACTCAAATTAGTAGTTGTAAAATTACTAATCAAATTTGTATAATTCAATTTATTAATCAAATTCATTGAATCATTGTTTTGACATAATTGACCAAAGATAAGATTTAATCAATTTCAGTTTTAAAAAATTTATTTTTTCATAAACAATTGCAATAAGTATAGTCAATAACATTCTATACACAAATTTACATATTTGAAAAATAATCATTCATTAGTTTTAAATAATTTGTTACATTAATAAATTTTTTTTTAATTTCTTTTTAGGATTTATTTATTTGTTTATTTATTTTTCTATGAGCAAACATAATAAGGGATAGTTTTTAAGAACCCTTTCTTTAACCAATTTTCGAGAGTCAAAGCCGGGGTATTGTTTATATTGATATTTGCGTCTTTTCAATCAAAAGTTCTATATCAACAAAGAAGAAAGAAAAAGGATTTCTCAAATTCATGAATGGATTTGGTGAAGAGAGAAGGATGTTAAGGGGCAAGATGTGAACTGTATATACCCCATACCTTCGTTTTGGATTCCATTCTCCGATATAGTATTATAGATTTGTCTGGCATGCATGAATTCCTTAATACTGTATTTAGTTAGAAGATTTAGAGAGAGATTTAAAATTAAAAGGGAAAAGGCCTGTGAAACTAGGTGAAATGTAGGTATATTTTATTCACATTTCACTTAACTTTTCTTTTTCTTTTTCAAATTTCTCCTCAAATTTCCCAATCAAACACAACGCATGTTATTCAAATTTTAATGAATGATTAGTGAGTAGTCTTAGAGTATCGTGTGCCATTATATACATGGTGTTTCAAATTAATTGTATAGAAAGAAAATTTATAAATGAAATATGCTAACTCATCTTTGATTCACCCAGCTAAACAGAAGTATTTGTATGATTTTTTTTAAAATTAAAGGACTTAACTGTACACTTTCTAGTCTAAAAAGACACTGATATTAAGGGGTTGTTTGGGGTATTTTAAATAAGTGTACTTTTTGTCTTTTTAGACTAAAAAATTGATGTTAAAAATATGGATATTTGGGTTAACTTTTTTGACTTTTTATGAAAAAAATGTGTAATAAAAAATTGTAAAAATTGATTTGTAGAGAAAAATTCGAATTGAAAGTTATGCAGTCGTAATTATTGACTTTTGATGAATAGTGTTAACTTTTTAACTTTTTAAGTAATTTTTTAAATTTTTGACTTTTTTACAAGTTCCTAAACTTGGCTTAAGTACCATTTCAAGAGATGTTATTATAATTATCAGTGAGACCCCATTTTGGGGAATTCCTACCACCCTCGAAGTGATTTAGACTATTTATGTGTATTGATTTTTTTATTTTTTTTCCTATCTCCCTAAGATGAGACCACTTTGGGGATGGTGGGGTTGCCAAAAATGAGAATCTTAGGCCGCGTTTGGTAGAGTTTTAGAATTACGATTTAAGAATAGAGTTGTATTTTGAGTTTGTGAGTTTTGAAATTATGATTTGAATGTAGAAAATTTGTTTGGTTATGAGTTTTGAAAATAGTTTTGAATTGAATTTAAAATTTTTGATATAACATATGATATTTGATTAAAAAATTTACAATTCATAACCAAACACACAACTCAAAATTCTATTCAAAGTTCATAAAAAAAATTTTAAAAATTCTGAAAATATTTTTTATTTAAAATATAAAAATAACAGATGCAAAAAAAAAAAACAAACATTATTCCGGTCAAATCACGTATACGGTTTCGATCAACTGGCCAGACGCTTGAGGGGATATCTGAGAGGGTGACTAGATAGACATGTTTTCAACAGTGGTTGTGGAATCAATTTTTAAAAATTCTCACCAAACACCACACTCAAACCAAGTGGTGAAATTAAGATTTCACAATTCTACCAAACAGAGCCGTAATCATCACTGCTAAATTTTTTAACATCCAATTATGTTGGGGTTTTTAAGAATAATTACATTAAAGAAGTTGCTTTTCTTTCCAAGTGAAATGCTTGGACAGCATTTTTTTTTATTTTTTTATTTTTTTATTTGGTGTGTGTGTTGGGGGGTGTTTGGAAAGTGCTATTTTACCATTAATTTTTACAAAATATTTAATCGGAGTAATATGGTGGTAGTATTTTTAAAATAAGGCCACTCCAAATAGAGAAAATTTTATGATACATATATCTTTTTTTGGAGCTTGTTTGTTTTGGTTATGGGATTGGACTAATAGTCTCATGGATCCTAGAAAAATTATGTTTGGTTGGAACAAAATTCTTAAGAGTGTGTTTGTTTTAAGGAATTATTTCATGAGATTGAACTATTAGTCAATTCGGACTAATAGTCTATTATTTGGTTTAATTTTTTTGCTTCGGATTAATAGTCCATCCAGACTATTAGTCTCTCACATGAGGGATTATTTTATTCTAGGGGGAGATGTTGGATTATTTCCATAGGATTGGTATCCTATGGGAATAATATGTGAAATATCCATTTTACCCTCATGCTATTACTTAATAAATAATTGAAAAATGACAAAATAGTCTTTCGAACATTCATAAATTATTTTTGTAGTGTTGTTAATTTAAAATTATATATTAAATAAAAAATATAAATTATAAATTATGGCCTTATAATTTTTTTAGTGTTGTTCAAAATTAAATTTATATATTAAATAAAATTATTTTTTTGTGTTGTTAATTTAAAATTATATATTAAATAAAGTACTTTTCTGTGCCCTTAATTTATTGCATAAACTCAGACTTTCAAAATTTTGATGAAAATGGCGAGGAAGAAATTCCTCCGATTTTGCAACGTTTAATTGAGCAGGAGCAGGAGAGATTTGTCAAACCCTTAATGGATGAAATCATTATCGTGAATATTGGTACTGAGGAGGACCCGCGGCTGGTCCAGATCGGGTCCACGTTGTCTTCGGAGGAACGCGAGCGCTTAGTCGCCTTATTAAAAGATTTCAAAGATGTTTTCGCGTGGTCCTACGAAGACATGCCTGGAATTGATCCTGAGATTGTACAACACCGGATCCCCCTTGACCCCGAGGCCCGACCTGTCAAACAGAAACTCAGAAAGATTCGCCCGGACTGGGCTCTCAAGATTAAAGAAGAGGTCACCAAGCAAATCGATGCAGGCTTCCTGCTGGTGTCCGAATACCCGACTTGGTTGGCCAACATCGTTCTAGTGCCGAAGAAGGATGGCAGGATCCAGGTATGCGTGGATTTCAGGGATTTAAACAGAGCTAGTCCGAAGCACAACTTTCCCTTGCCGCATATTGATGAGTTGGTGGATTTCACAGCAGGGCATGCTTTGCTCTCATTCATGGATGGCTTCTCAGGGTACAATCAGATAGTAATGATCATAACAAACCCCTTTACATCTCCGTGGAATGTAGAGACAAGTGGGTACCAGTGGTTCTTATCGACACGGGATCCGCCATTAATGTATGCCCGTCAAGGACGACATATGCGATCGGGTTGAAGCTCGCGGACTTCATGCCGACTACTCAAGTGATCAGAGCCTATGATAACACCAGCAG